ACATTTTGAATGTAGTCTTTGGGCAGGGCTTTCTAAAAGGCAAGGCCCATTTCTTGGTTCTGACTGCTAAGTTCAGGCAGGGCTTTTGGTTTTGAGTAGTGCTTAGTTTCTTGTGCTTCCTTTACCTGTTTTGAAGAATTTTGTTTACTTCTCTTCTTTTTATAATTACGAATTATTACAAATGAAGAATTATTTTGCCGTAGGTTAAATCGCTGTTATTCGTGGAGTAAATAGAAATTGCATTACATCAAGTTTATACCTATCAAACTTTTAAAGTTATAGAAAGGGATTTCTAGAATACATTTATACTGAGTTTTGTGATTTTTGTCATTCTGAATTTTATGAAATTTATTCATACTTGTCTAGAATAACTAGCTGCAATGCTTTTCATTCTGGTTATCTAAAGTTACTAGATTTAAGTAACTTGTACAACATATTATTGTGAGATTAATATTCAAGATCAACTATAAGAAGCTGCTCTATTCAGCAAATGTCTAGAAATCTTAATGAGTACTTTTTGTCTTCATTTTAATTACTCCAGCAACTGATTAAGACTATTTTTCTTATTTTCTTTTTATGTCATTATTTAATGATTTTACCTGGATAGAAATATTTCACTTTGAGCAGCTATTATGAAGTAGCAGGATATAAAGGATGACTCATCCTTATGGTAGTAGAATATTGTTATCATAGTATCAAAATAGTTCTTGAAAAGTACTTTGTGCAATGAAAAGCCTTTTGATTATTATTACCAATTTGGTTCTAAAAAGTTTACAAATCTTTTGTTGAAAATTGTGTAAATTAACATACACAGTTTAGTACTAATAATAGTGGCAATGATAATGTGTATTGCACAAGATTTGATACAGTTAATTATGCTTTAGAACAAGCATTGGAACACCTTGACAAGTAATAGTTAACTATCTCTCTTTGTCAGATGAATTGATAGGTTTGATTCACACTCCCTGTCTTGTTCATTAAAGAATTCTCAATATATTAGGCTAATCAGATTTGTACCACAGTTAGTTGATAGCAATTAGTAGGGTACATTTCCCAATGGCCAGTCAAGAGGTGGAAAAGGCTTAGTGCTTAATATGTGTTCCCAATTTTTTTTTTTTTTTTTTTTTTCAGTTTAGGTAGGTACTGCCCAAATACTACAGGCAAGGATTGGGAACAAGTGGAGTATAAAGAGGTTAACTTTTTATTTACTCTTAGGAGCAGTAATTTAGGGTAGCCTTGGAATAGAAAATCAAGTGTGCATATGACTACAGAAGAAATATTTGTAAATACGGTATGATTGTGAATACAAGGGCAGATGTGATTAGTGCACTTTCTCGGTGCTGCTCTTCTGTCCAAAGTGACTCTAAAATGTGATTGGTGTGTAATTGTGATTCTTAAGTACCTGGTCAGAGGATGCATGATGCAAAAATGGGCTCAAATACTTTCTTCTGTCATTGCCTCACTTTCATTCCCCAAGTTGGTATGAACTGATCTAGCTCTCTGTGTGGTCCCCAGCAAGCAGTGTTTTTTTTCCATTTATATATGGATGTCCTTGAAAAACCATACCAAACAAATGTTACTTGCCATGGAAATAGTGATGTTAAGATGTATGCAGGAGAAGTTTTTTAACTTTCATTTTTGGTTAAAAAGACCCATCATTTCTACTGTAATTAACCCTGAACATTTAATATTTCATATTTAATATTTTCATAAACTTGCCACAGTTAAACATCAACCTGAAGCAGGTATGAAGTTGAAATATCTTGAAAAATATAAGGTGCTATACTCACATCATGGCACTTATTCAGCATACACTTTACTGTTATGTTGTAGAGGCTTACACTGATATGAAGCAGGTAAAGCTATCTTATGTTTCTTTCCAAAAAGATATAGGGTGTTCTGTAATCAATGCATTATAGAACTGTAAGTAGAAGCCAATACTCTCAAGCCTGGTTAGAATGCTGAAAGTTACAGAATTAGGGTAATTTTATCAATGCTATCATACTACTTGGGCTGGCAACTTACGGAATTTCTGATTTGCCCAACTTAACCAAGTGAGGTTTCTCTTCAAACATGTGAACTTGTAAAGTTAGGTTTAGATGTAGCTATTCAGGGCCTTTCAGTGTTAGCAAGTATAAAACTTCCTGGGAGGCTTCAGCATTTGCTCAAGTAGGGTATCTCTGGCTTAGTTCTATTTTAACTTTTGAGGTGCTCCATTTCTTATAGTATTGAGTTCTACAAATAAGATTTTTTTTTTTTTTTTTTTTTTTTTTTTTAATATTTAGTACTCCTGAGTTTAAACATTGTGAGCTGCAACATATATGGAAATATTAAAGATAATTCAAGACTTGGGGTGCATCAATGTCTCTTCCATTAACAAATATTTTGGGTGCCAAAATATCCCACATAGAGTTTCACACTTCTGTTGCAGTGGTAAATTGAAACAAATGGTTACTTTTGTTTGAGCTCTCATGGTTATTATTTGAATCATGACATTATATAATGGGTCTCCAGTCAGAATAGAACTTCGCCTTTCCTCATTACGGTTTTGGAAGCAGTGCAGGGCACATTTAGCAACCAATAGCAGCGTGTTGTTAGACTTGGATAACCTCTGCTTTTGACACTTATAAAGTGCTTTACACCATTTCAGGTAATTGACAAAGAATTGACTGCATAGTTAGCTATTTCTTAAATTGTGAATAACTTGAGTAGTGTTTGTAATTAAGATTTTAAACTAGGAGCAGTTAAAAGAAAAATAGAAGGATAGCAAATAATAATGCTCTTTGGGAATCCACTTTTGTCGCTGATCCCTTGAAATGCTGCTATTGGGTGCTTGGTATGGCTTTCATATTTTCTTATTCTCATAAAGCATATTTGTAATTCATTGTACATTAGTACAGAATTATTGTAGCCATTTTTACCTAATTGCAGATTCATATGTATAAGCGAGAAAGCAATTTGTTGGAATAAATTTTTTGAGAATGCAGTTAGGATTTTTGGATGCATTTTTGTGGTGAGTGCTGGTTAGAGAGCGTTGGAACTGAGGCAGTTACTGTACAAGTGAGAGTGTTGGAACAAGTATTGTTGATAAAGATAATAAAAGTACAGGCGTGTAATGATTTGGTAAAAGTAATTGCCAAAATGCACTTAACTGAACCATTAAAGTTATTCTAGCTTGAGTCTAGGTCAATAAATTCCCAAATTGTGCCTAGTCCCTCTTGGAAGTGGTGGTGTGTACATATTGGTATGGTAGGGATCAAAGTCCTTACTAAGCTGTTCTGTTGTTCTATAAAGGTGCTAGTGGCACAGGAAATTTATTTTGCTTTGTTTATCTGGTATTCCATGTTTGCCACAAAGTTGAGTGATGGACTCCTATAAACTGCAGCACAATCTAGTGTAAAATTGAGTAAATGTAAACTAAAATACATAAAAAACAAAAGATTTGCAAAGATGCTAGAGTGAGTCTGTTCACAAAATTATGTGAGTGGCTCTTGGTTTTGGTGTTTAAAGTGTTGACAGTACAAATATTTATTACTAGCCTCATTCTAAATAAAGGTACTGAATATTCCAAATGGATCTCAATATTTACCTTGAACCTCTGAAAACTGCCAGTAAATTGTAAGTGAATTTAATAACTTATAAATGTAAAATTCTTTTCATTACTATGTAAGGACCACAGGGAAATGTAGAGATCTTATGGAATGATGTTTTAAAGGTCCAATGCTCTCACTAAACCCTTCTCATATATGGGGTTATCAGCAGCGTTATGTAATCTCCTATGCATTCAGGAACAAATCAAGCAAGTTTCATATTGTAGAATGTTTGACAAGATATTAGAAATTTGCAATTAAGAGGTCAAAAAGTATCATTAAAATTTCTGCATAGTGTATGCACAGAAGATTTGCTGCAGTAGTTGACACCAAATATTTGATTCCTCATGTGTGTATGTAGAGGTGTAATTGCTGCAGTCATTTGTACTTTGAACTTTGCTCCTACATACATTTGTGTATACATTAGGATCAAATTGCTGCAATGATGAGTACCCAGTGCTTTTGCCACCACTTGTATCAGCAGGCTAACTCCTTGAAACCAAAGATTTTTTTTTATTTTTAATTTTCTGGTACCCTTACACATTTATGTTGAATGTTCATGGATATTTGTATGTTGCGTTAAGTGTTTGAACCTCGCAAAAACTCAAAACCCAAACATTTCCCAGCTTTTCCCCCTTTTCTTTTTAACTTAATTTCTTTAAAAATATAACTGGAGATATAATATGGAAAGCTAAGAAAAGAAAAAAATAATTTGCACACTTTGTATATTTTATCCTTTAATAATTCTGGTTACACATTTATTTTGTGAAATTTAAACAAAAGATGCCATCTGCAAAAATACAAAAACAAAACTAAAATACATTCTAAATCTAAGAAATAAAGAATATAACATTTCAAAACATGGCTGACATACTGTCTTCTAAGAATTTTTTGTAAATTGCCATGAATGCTGCAATAAAGGCCTCTATGTGGTATATAGCCTTTGAACCGAGATTCAGGCGGTGTTCATGATAGGCAGCTAGTCTTGTCACTTCGCACTTCAATTCGCCATCACAATTTCTGACCAACTCCTTTAATAGGCCCTGAGAAAAAAATAAAGTGAAATTAGCATGAAGGCAGTATGACTACAGAACTAATAGGCCTATAGTGGCTGAGAACTGCTTTTAATGAATGATAATGTAATGTACATGAATTGACATTAACTGTACAAAATATTACATCTGCCCAAAAACTTTATACATATATATGGAGAAACTAATCTCCCTCATTACTAGGGGAAGTATGAGCCACTTCGGAATGTTAAACTTTGATTTTCAACCCAATTCCCACAGCTTGGTAATGTAGTTAGAAAAGTCAGATTACAGTAATAAGAAAACCAATATAAAGAAAAGAAAAGAAAAAAATAATTTGCACACTTTGTATATTTTATCCTTTAATAATTCTGGTTACACATTTATTTTGTGAAATTTAAACAAAAGATGTCATCTGCAAAAAATACAAAAACAAAACTAAAATACATTCTAAATCTAAGAAATAAAGAATATAATATTTCAAAACATGGCTGACATACTGTCTTCTAAGAATTTTTTGTAAATTGCCATGAATGCTGCAATAAAGGCCTCTATGTGGTATATAGCCTTTGAACCGAGATTCAGGCGGTGTTCATGATAGGCAGCTAGTCTTGTCACTTCGCACTTCAATTCGCCATCACAATTTCTGACCAACTCCTTTAATAGGCCCTGAGAAAAAAAAGAAAAAAAAAAAAAAAAAAAAAAAAAAAAAAAAAAAAAAAAAAAAAAAAAAAAAAAAAAAAAAAAAAAAAAAAAAAAAAAAAAAAAAAAAAAAAAAAAAAAAAAAAAAAAAAAAAAAAAAAAAAAAAAAAAAAAAAAAAAAAAAAAAAAAAAAAAAAAAAAAAAAAAAAAAAAAAAAAAAAAAAAAAAAAAAAAAAAAAAAAAAAAAAAAAAAAAAAAAAAAAAAAAAAAAAAAAAAAAAAAAAAAAAAAAAAAAAAAAAAAAAAAAAAAAAAAAAAAAAAAAAAAAAAAAAAAAAAAAAAAAAAAAAAAAAAAAAAAAAAAAAAAAAAAAAAAAAAAAAAAAAAAAAAAAAAAAAAAAAAAAAAAAAAAAAAAAAAAAAAAAAAAAAAAAAAAAAAAAAAAAAAAAAAAAAAAAAAAAAAAAAAAAAAAAAAAAAAAAAAAAAAAAAAAAAAAAAAAAAAAAAAAAAAAAAAAAAAAAAAAAAAAAAAAAAAAAAAAAAAAAAAAAAAAAAAAAAAAAAAAAAAAAAAAAAAAAAAAAAAAAAAAAAAAAAAAAAAAAAAAAAAAAAAAAAAAAAAAAAAAAAAAAAAAAAAAAAAAAAAAAAAAAAAAAAAAAAAAAAAAAAAAAAAAAAAAAAAAAAAAAAAAAAAAAAAAAAAAAAAAAAAAAAAAAAAAAAAAAAAAAAAAAAAAAAAAAAAAAAAAAAAAAAAAAAAAAAAAAAAAAAAAAAAAAAAAAAAAAAAAAAAAAAAAAAAAAAAAAAAAAAAAAAAAAAAAAAAAAAAAAAAAAAAAAAAAAAAAAAAAAAAAAAAAAAAAAAAAAAAAAAAAAAAAAAAAAAAAAAAAAAAAAAAAAAAAAAAAAAAAAAAAAAAAAAAAAAAAAAAAAAAAAAAAAAAAAAAAAAAAAAAAAAAAAAAAAAAAAAAAAAAAAAAAAAAAAAAAAAAAAAAAAAAAAAAAAAAAAAAAAAAAAAAAAAAAAAAAAAAAAAAAAAAAAAAAAAAAAAAAAAAAAAAAAAAAAAAAAAAAAAAAAAAAAAAAAAAAAAAAAAAAAAAAAAAAAAAAAAAAAAAAAAAAAAAAAAAAAAAAAAAAAAAAAAAAAAAAAAAAAAAAAAAAAAAAAAAAAAAAAAAAAAAAAAAAAAAAAAAAAAAAAAAAAAAAAAAAAAAAAAAAAAAAAAAAAAAAAAAAAAAAAAAAAAAAAAAAAAAAAAAAAAAAAAAAAAAAAAAAAAAAAAAAAAAAAAAAAAAAAAAAAAAAAAAAAAAAAAAAAAAAAAAAAAAAAAAAAAAAAAAAAAAAAAAAAAAAAAAAAAAAAAAAAAAAAAAAAAAAAAAAAAAAAAAAAAAAAAAAAAAAAAAAAAAAAAAAAAAAAAAAAAAAAAAAAAAAAAAAAAAAAAAAAAAAAAAAAAAAAAAAAAAAAAAAAAAAAAAAAAAAAAAAAAAAAAAAAAAAAAAAAAAAAAAAAAAAAAAAAAAAAAAAAAAAAAAAAAAAAAAAAAAAAAAAAAAAAAAAAAAAAAAAAAAAAAAAAAAAAAAAAAAAGAAAAATTCAAGCCTAAATCTCAATATTGTTAAATGTGCTACTAACCAAATTAAAGGTAGAGAATTCTTAAACTACTATGAAGTGGCAACAGCAACCAGCTAAACAGAAATGTTAGTTTTAAATTCTGAATTTTTTTTATGACAATCTTTCTTTGGGTATCATCATAAGCAAGAAAAAGAAGGAAAGAAAAAGAAAGTAGACATAACTGAGTCTTAATGATGGTCAAATACATTTATATGTCTACCACTCCAAACTCATTACTTTTTAAAAACTCACTTTGAAAATAACCTCCGGAGGTATGCAATGTGTCAGCAGCTCATAAATCCTTCCTCGGACATCCAACAGTCTGTTTGGACTCTGTTCTTCAACTATCTTTGCTGCTGTTTCTTGTAAGAACACTTCCCAATCTGGGATACTAATGTCTTGTTGAGGACTAAAGGGGTATCTGTAAAGAAAATGCATAGATGAATATTAAACGCCAACTTATTTTCCAACCGAGTTACTTATATTTGCATAGATTAAAATCCACTGAAATATCAAGGTTATAGAGTTAATATGTATGGATAACACTTTCACTATGAGAAATACTTACTGTTGGACTCTACAAGCCTCACACATTAATATGGCGCGTCTTAAGTTGCGATTTGACTTATCAGCAATTCTTTTGGCAAGTTCAGTTGGTAATGACAAGCCCTCCTTCTTGCACACAGCCTATGGCAAAGAGGAGTTAAAAATTAGACAACAGTGCAATATCACAGAGCATTTATTTTTACTTTGGAGAATATTTCCATTAGTATCATGAACAGTAGCAAGAAAAAGAAAAGGATTTATGGACTGAAAGAAGTCTTTCACTGCACAACTAAAAATGAAATAATCAGTGCTGCACTATAAGTTACGTAAATGAAAGGTCTATACCTGTAGGACTTTAACAACATCCTCGACTGTGGGGGCTGGAATCCTCACACCGAGACAACGACTGCGGATAGCCGGAATGACCTTGGATGTTGAATTAGCACACAGAATCAGCCTACAAGTTGCCATGTACTTCTCCATGGTACGACGGAGGGCGTGCTGAGCATCTTTGGTCAGTTTATCAACTTCATTTAGCACAACCACTGAAAAATTCATATACTCAAAACATGGAAGATCAACATGTACATGACTCAAATAATTAAATTCTTTCAAAAACTTTACATATGAAGAAGTTCACTGAATTAAACAAAATTACAGAAAAAAGAAGAAGAAAAAAAATGTCTACATGAGACATGAAAAGAACATTACAAAAACAACCTTCCTCCAAATCCCTTCCACTTTTATTCTCTTCTCTGCCATATAATCAGATAGAGAGTACATTCCCAACTCCTCCTTGTCCTCTGCAGAATCTTATAATCCACCTTTTTCTTCTTATGAAATCTACAATCATGCTGCAACACTCATGAAGATCTGGTCATTATGACACCTTCCACCTACTTCCTTGTCTTTCCTTCTATCACTATTCAATAACATGGCTAACTGGAAACTTTCCTCCCCACTGGTGTGAAGCCCTTGTAGTACCTATTCTAAAACCAAACAAGACTACTGTCCCATAGCACTCACAAGCTGCCTATAATAGATAACATCTGGCTAATGTGGTACCTCAAACACCACAACCTTATCTCTCCAAATCAGTTTGGATTTTGTTGTGGCTGATCCTCTTCCTTATTTCAAGACTCAAATCACATCAACATTTGTACACCGTGACTCAACATAGCATACACAGAAACATGGGTCTTTTCAGAAAATCCTTTCTTTCTGAACACACCTTCTGTGTCAGACTTGCCTCTTCTACTTCTTCTCCTTTCCCTTAATTTGAAGGTAGTATACTCAGCACCACATTATTTCTCACTGCTGTAAATGGATTAGTTTCAGCTCTTCCACCAAGAATCCGGTCATCACTGTACATAGATGATTTAACCATCTTTGCCTCTAGTCCTTCCAGCTCACCATTAGCTTCTCCAGTATGCAATACATTAATCACTTCTTGGGCTATCAATCACAGCTTTCAATTTTCTACCTCTAAAACCTTTTCCATCCTAATTTCTCCTTCACTTATAGACTCCCAACCTCCACTCTTTCTATATGATGTTTCCGTCAGGCAAGTTCCTTGGTGTCATACTCCAAACAGTCTTGGCAAGATCAAATCCTTTCTCTTGAAGAAAAAGCCCGCTGTCTCCTCTTCCTTTTACAGACTCTTACATAATATCCCGGGATTCAGACCTCAAAACACTCCTCCATCTCAATATTACCCTAAACCTCTCCACCTTTGATTATGGCTGTCATATATATTCTTCTGCCTCAACCTCCTTTCTTACACACCTAGACACAACCCACCACTGTAGTCTTCGTTTAGCCTTTAGTGCCATTCAATCCTCTCCAGTTGAGTCTATATACTGAATCAGGCCTACCATCCCTTTCTCGACTTTGTGCACTTCGGTCTCTAACCTTCTTCGTACCTTCTCTCCATGTTTACCAACCTCTTTCCATGTTCATATCGACACTCTGCTTTCCCATTCACCCATTCCTCATCTCTGATCCCTTACTCTTTCTGCCCAATCCTTCCCTCCCTGGCTAATACCTTCCTCCTGTAATTGTTCTTACCCCAGATTCACCTGAATCAAATGTCACACCTTCTGTCCTCCTCACACATTTTCCTGCACATATCTCTAATCATTCCTCCAGTACCCATGTCTACACAGATGGCTCCAAATCCATATCGGATACTGATTTTGGTTTTGTATTTTCTTCTTACACATACAACTTCCCTTTTCCTCCTGAATTGAGCATCCTTTTTGCCTAATGAGTCTCATTTCCCTGCAAGAGCTATGTACACTGTTGGCAAGACCTTCCCATCACCTGCCACATGGCAAAAATATCTCCTGATGATATGTTCCTTCTACTCCGGCTCTCAGCCAAATTTTACTACAACACTTTCTCATTATCTCCCCCCCCCCCCCAGCCAATCTTTTTCATGATGAGACATCCCAATCATCCAGATCCAACAGGTAAAAGAAAAGAAAAGAAAAAAGAAAAGAAAAGAAAAGAAAAGAAAAGAAAAGAAGAAAAGAAAAGAAAAGAAAAGAAAAGAAAAGAAAAGAAAAGAAAAGAAAAGAAAAGAAAAGAAAAGAAAAGAAAAGAAAAGAAAAGAAAAGAAAAAGAAAAAGAAAAAGAAAAAGAAAAAGAAAAAGAAAAAGAAAAAGAAAAAGAAAAAAGATAGGGAAAAAAAAAAAAAAAAAAAAAAAAAAAAAAAAAAAAAAAATGTATATGTAATAGTCAAAATCCTAGTTTGATCCCAAAACACCAAGAATGAAAGATCTGTATCTCACCTTTAAATTCTCTTTGACCACTTGTATCCAGCTGCTGTGAAGATGCCACAGTCTTGATGAGTTCCTGAATAACGACCCTGTCATAGATGCCAACATCACTGGGATTCACTTCTATGTGATAATTACTGGCAATTGTTACAATCTCCAGCTTCTTCTTGGAGGGTGTCTGTTTAAGGAGAGAAGTCAGTAATGGTACCTTTTTATCTATTATCTTTATTTTATATTTAATATATTTTTCATACAAGCTTAACTATGTTAGAATCAATTATACTGCAAGCATTATTGGTCTAGTTTATCCACATCTGAGGCTTATGAAATAAGCCTATTGGATTATTCAATCTTAACTCAATGCTGCTGGGAAAATGCTAAGCTATTTTTTATTTTTTGTGAAATATCTCTGCACACACCTTTCCTTGAATTCGTGGGATTTTTTTTTTTTTAATTGCTGTCAATGCTGGTGGTGTTATTTTTATTATAGACATTATAATTACTATAATGTTACTGACATTAGCAGTGGTAGTATAAGATAACAAAATATTTTCAAAAATCAAGGAAAAGAGTAAACAAGTGAGATAAACAGTACTCAAAATTATAAACATTATAATTACTATAATGATATTGACATTACTAGTGGCAATAGAAGACAAGAAAATATTTAAAAAATCAAGGAAAAGGGTGAACAAGTGAGACAAACAGTACTCAAAATTATAAACATTATAATTACTATAATGTTACTGACATTAGCAGTGGTAGTATAAGATAACAAAATATTTTCAAAAATCAAGGAAAAGAGTAAACAAGTGAGATAAACAGTACTCAAAATTATAAACATTATAATTACTATAATGTTACTGACATTAGCAGTGGTAGTATAAGATAACAAAATATTTTCAAAAATCAAGGAAAAGAGTAAACAAGTGAGATAAACAGTACTCAAAATTATAAACATTATAATTACTATAATGATATTGACATTACTAGTGGCAATAGAAGACAAGAAAATATTTAAAAAATCAAGGAAAAGAGTAAACAAGTGAGATAAACAGTACTCAAAATTATAAACATTATAATTACTATAATGATATTGACATTACTAGTGGCAATAGAAGACAAGAAAATATTTAAAAAATCAAGGAAAAGAGTAAACAAGTGAGATAAACAGTACTCAAAATTATAAACATTATAATTACTATAATGTTACTGACATTAGCAGTGGTAGTATAAGATAACAAAATATTTTCAAAAATCAAGGAAAAGAGTAAACAAGTGAGATAAACAGTACTCAAAATTATAAACATTATAATTACTATAATGATATTGACATTACTAGTGGCAATAGAAGACAAGAAAATATTTAAAAAATCAAGGAAAAGAGTAAACAAGTGAGATAAACAGTACTCAAAATTATAAACATTATAATTACTATAATGTTACTGACATTAGCAGTGGTAGTATAAGATAACAAAATATTTTCAAAAATCAAGGAAAAGAGTAAACAAGTGAGATAAACAGTACTCAAAATTATAAACATTATAATTACTATAATGATATTGACATTACTAGTGGCAATAGAAGACAAGAAAATATTTAAAAAATCAAGGAAAAGAGTAAACAAGTGAGATAAACAGTACTCAAAATTATAAACATTATAATTACTATAATGTTACTGACATTAGCAGTGGTAGTATAAGATAACAAAATATTTTCAAAAATCAAGGAAAAGAGTAAACAAGTGAGATAAACAGTACTCAAAATTATAAACATTATAATTACTATAATGTTACTGACATTAGCAGTGGTAGTATAAGATAACAAAATATTTTCAAAAATCAAGGAAAAGAGTAAACAAGTGAGATAAACAGTACTCAAAATTATAAACATTATAATTACTATAATGTTACTGACATTAGCAGTGGTAGTATAAGATAACAAAATTGGATTATTCAATCTTACACTCAAGCTGCGGGAAAATGCTGAGCTCATTTTTATTTTTTGTGAAATATCTCTGCACACACCTTTCCTTGAATTCGTGGGATTTTTTTTTTTTTTTTTTTTTTTTTTTTTTTTTTTTTTTTTTTTTTTTTTTTTTTTTTTTTTTTTTTTTTTTTTTTTTTTTTTTTTTTTTTTTTTTTTTTTTTTTTTTTTTTTTTTTTTTTTTTTTTTTTTTTTTTTTTTTTTTTTTTTTTTTTTTTTTTTTTTTTTTTTTTTTTTTTTTTTTTTTTTTTTTTTTTTTTTTTTTTTTTTTTTTTTTTTTTTTTTTTTTTTTTTTTTTTTTTTTTTTTTTTTTTTTTTTTTTTTTTTTTTTTTTTTTTTTTTTTTTTTTTTTTTTTTTTTTTTTTTTTTTTTTTTTTTTTTTTTTTTTTTTTTTTTTTTTTTTTTTTTTTTTTTTTTTTTTTTTTTTTTTTTTTTTTTTTTTTTTTTTTTTTTTTTTTTTTTTTTTTTTTTTTTTTTTTTTTTTTTTTTTTTTTTTTTTTTTTTTTTTTTTTTTTTTTTTTTTTTTTTTTTTTTTTTTTTTTTTTTTTTTTTTTTTTTTTTTTTTTTTTTTTTTTTTTTTTTTTTTTTTTTTTTTTTTTTTTTTTTTTTTTTTTTTTTTTTTTTTTTTTTTTTTTTTTTTTTTTTTTTTTTTTTTTTTTTTTTTTTTTTTTTTTTTTTTTTTTTTTTTTTTTTTTTTTTTTTTTTTTTTTTTTTTTTTTTTTTTTTTTTTTTTTTTTTTTTTTTTTTTTTTTTTTTTTTTTTTTTTTTTTTTTTTTTTTTTTTTTTTTTTTTTTTTTTTTTTTTTTTTTTTTTTTTTTTTTTTTTTTTTTTTTTTTTTTTTTTTTTTTTTTTTTTTTTTTTTTTTTTTTTTTTTTTTTTTTTTTTTTTTTTTTTTTTTTTTTTTTTTTTTTTTTTTTTTTTTTTTTTTTTTTTTTTTTTTTTTTTTTTTTTTTTTTTTTTTTTTTTTTTTTTTTTTTTTTTTTTTTTTTTTTTTTTTTTTTTTTTTTTTTTTTTTTTTTTTTTTTTTTTTTTTTTTTTTTTTTTTTTTTTTTTTTTTTTTTTTTTTTTTTTTTTTTTTTTTTTTTTTTTTTTTTTTTTTTTTTTTTTTTTTTTTTTTTTTTTTTTTTTTTTTTTTTTTTTTTTTTTTTTTTTTTTTTTTTTTTTTTTTTTTTTTTTTTTTTTTTTTTTTTTTTTTTTTTTTTTTTTTTTTTTTTTTTTTTTTTTTTTTTTTTTTTTTTTTTTTTTTTTTTTTTTTTTTTTTTTTTTTTTTTTTTTTTTTTTTTTTTTTTTTTTTTTTTTTTTTTTTTTTTTTTTTTTTTTTTTTTTTTTTTTTTTTTTTTTTTTTTTTTTTTTTTTTTTTTTTTTTTTTTTTTTTTTTTTTTTTTTTTTTTTTTTTTTTTTTTTTTTTTTTTTTTTTTTTTTTTTTTTTTTTTTTTTTTTTTTTTTTTTTTTTTTTTTTTTTTTTTTTTTTTTTTTTTTTTTTTTTTTTTTTTTTTTTTTTTTTTTTTTTTTTTAATTGCTGTCAATGCTGGTGGTGTTATTTTTATTATAGACATTATAATTACTATAATGATATTGACATTACTAGTGGCAATAGAAGACAAGAAAATATTTAAAAAATCAAGGAAAAGAGTAAACAAGTGAGATAAACAGTACTCAAAATTATAAACATTATAATTACTATAATGATATTGACATTACTAGTGGCAATAGAAGACAAGAAAATATTTAAAAAATCAAGGAAAAGAGTAAACAAGTGAGATAAACAGTACTCAAAATTATAAACATTATAATTACTATAATGATATTGACATTACTAGTGGCAATAGAAGACAAGAAAATATTAAAAAAAAAAATACTACTACTAATACAGTAGACAGTGCATGTTTCCAGTGCTAGTGGGCTAAGGGGACCATTTGGACATTTTCAGCCAAGATTTCAACTTTTTGAGTTACATGCCTATCTGCTATGCATTTGCTTAGAAGAACTCTTACATGACTGCTTATCTCCCAAGAATTTTAAGAGGTAAGAACCTATTGAAGACACCCCTAAAAAGAAGAAGAAGACAACTCTGGACTCTCTGTGTAGGTATAAACTGAGAAAGAAAATTACAAAACATCAATGCAATTTGACCATACTTTTATGTGTTAACAGGCAATCAACACTAATAGCAAGCAAAAATTCAAATGAAACAAAGATTGAAAATAATATATTGAAAGAAATATATAATATATGGATTGTCATTAATATGACTGATGTGTACTGTCCACTTAAGGTAGTTTTTAGTCTGCAACAATCTACCAGTGATGATAGTGGACCTGTTATTTTGGGAAGAAATTAATTATATCTAGGAAAATGTGGACATAAATGAGAAAAAAACTGATGATAAACAATGTTGAAATCAAACAAAGTGTAATGTTTTTAAAAGGGATTATTCCTATTTATATACACTCACAAGAGACACAGCTAACATACATATTACAAGTGAGACATGTACTGAATAGGATTCTGGAGGATTCCACAGTGTGTGTTGGTTATGCATCTGATATTGTGGGTATTATATACATTTCATGCAAGGAAACCAAGAAAATGGACTGAAGTTTACTGATATATGGGTAAGTGCAAGAGTGAATGAAAACAGCCTAAAATAAATGCTAGTGCACTGCAAACATTGTTTAATGCTAAGCTGAATGAAAACAGCCTAAAATAAATGCTAGTGTACTGCAAACATTGTTTAATGCTGTGCAGTAATAAGGTCTAGTGTTTATTCTCAAAAATAATTAATTTCTTGCTTGGCTCTATCTTGCCTGAACATACTAAGTTGGAAATT